CATACAAAGCAAAGTACGTAGATCCGATCGGCGGCGATTCACGTCTTTGGCGTCATGATCCAAGAGTAATCTTGCGAAATTGATCAACGTATTTTTCTGCCGCTCTTTTCTTTGCAAGAGAAATTGACTTGAATCTGGATGAAATGCATTGCCAGCTGTCAAAGCTCTCATCTCCGAAATTTCACCAGCTAGGTCTAGCCTCGTGTTCCGATTTGCACTCTTCAAAATCCTCGGATTAAAAGCATGCTCGGGAATCGAAACGTAGCGATCAGAAGGCTTCAAGCGAGACATTCATTTCACCTGTGTGCACTCCAAAGAGCCCACCGCTCCCGTTCCTGATTTCGATCACCGCCTTTGATTTCTTGAAGCATGAACAGATACTTCACAAGCGCCCGCATCGGCAGTCCGTGGCAGGCAATGCGCCTTCAGGAGTTTCACATGTCTCAAATGCATGTAAGCTCTTGCTCTCTTTTAGGGGCGCCATTTGAAGCACACGGCGCAGCCCCACGCGCCGGGGGCCCTAGTGAATTTTACGGAGGCTGAGGGATAGCTGTAGAGTAAACGCATGTTCCTAACATAGTCCTAAAGGTGGTTCGTTGTCAAGTCAGCTGCCTTGCAGACCCCGCGAACTTACCACAACTTTGACAATCTCACCATCAAGCTCAGGTGCCCATATGAACACTCGCTTTGTTTCGTCTGTAATCCTGTTTTTGGCTAATCAGAAACTGGTCGAATAATGTCCAACGGTGTCTCTCGGCTGGGGAGGGAACAGAAGCCCTGTGAGACCTCATATTACATCAAGGAATTCATAGGTCTTCGTCGTGGAGAGATCCACAGAAGGGCAAAACTAAAACTGGATCAGCTTCCGGCCGTCAGGACCGACGTTCGTGCTCTGTCTTGCAGGTCAAACATAGGCGAAGCCCCGTTATTGCCAAGATTCTGTACAAGCACCATGCAACCCAATCATCTTGCCTCGACGTTCATTCTGTCAACCGAGTAGTCAGAGAAAGGCTTCCTGTCACCATCAATGGCAGATCAACGGATGCTGGTTGCAAGAATTGCGGATAGTTTTTGGCTTCAGAAACACCGTGAACAAGCTGGGGCGACCTGCCAATTGTGAGAGTTGACCCCAACACCTTTACACTATGTCTTAGGAACAGCCTGAGATGTTGCCGTTCTGCAGAAAGTGGAATATTTCCCACACAAACATTCATGCGCAAGAGCAATCAAACGCCCAAATTTAGAACGAAGTACGTCGATCCATGTAGCACTCAAGTCAAGGGGCGGCCCTCCGTTGAGGCGCGAGCTGCGCGCGCGAGCACAGCGTGAGGCGCGCAGCGGAGGTGCGGTGTAGAACACGGATGTGGTCATACTCCGCGGAGAGGCACATTCTCAATTGCTGCTCTGCAATACCGTACACTTGCCTTGGCGGAAACGTCGCTTTCATCGATCCCGCTCTCTAACATCACCGAGCATTTCATGGATCCTTGATTGCGACGACGATATCGGTAACGTACTCCCTCCGGACAACAAGAACCAACTGAAAGATGCCTTGATGTCATTCCCGCTCCATATATATAGAAATCACAGTCCAAGCCCATCAGTACTTATATAAAAGTTCAATCACGTCACTACTTCAACAACGTTTGGTAACGATCCAGTCCGGCAAAAACAGCAATCGGAGTAGCTCCTGGCCATCAGGACCCCAAGAGATTCCGTCTTGGTCAGAAATTGCGAAGTTCCATCATAGCCAGAGTTGAAGCTATC